TACTATAAATCATTTCTACTACGACGACGATTTTGTATCCAAACTTATCACCACATAATTATTTTTCAACTAACTACTACACACTACTACACTCCAACTACTAACTACTACTACAGCTAACTACTACTCCTACTACTACTACGACTACACTACTCCTTACTACTCTACTACTAACAACTACCCACTAACCACTATACTACTACAACCAAATACTACTACACTACTACCACTACTACTATACAAACTACAACTACTGCAACTACTGCTGTTGCTTCTACTACAATTACTACTCAGCGCCTGTTTAATATTCTACTTTTACTACTTCTCACTACTACTACTACTCCAACTACTACTACTACCACCAACGACTACTACTACTATCTGCTATAACAACTACTACTACAACTACTTCTACTACAACTACTAACTACTACTACTACAACTTACAACTGCTACTACTACTACTACTACTATTATGATCATTATGTTTATGACTGCGACTATACTACGACTACTATTACCACTACGTATGTTGCTACTACGACCACTATGATTATACTTAGTATTATACTACCACTCCTACTAGTATTCGCACTACTACTACTACTACTGCTACTTCCTATCGCTACTACAAGTAGTGGTAGTATTACTCCTACTACTGCGACTACTACTACTGCTACTACTGCTACTACTACTACTACTACTTCTACTACTTCTACTACTTCTACGACTACTACGACTACTACTACTACTACTACTACTACTACTACTACTACTACGACTACCCTCACTGCCATTTCTTCTACTACTACTACTACTACTACTACTACTACTACTTATACTACTACTTCAACTTCTACTACTACTACTGCTACTACTACTGTTACTGTTACTGGCACTACTACTACTACTCCTACTACTACGTTTACTACTATCACTGTGATTGTTACTGCTACTGTTACTGTTAATGCTACTGCCAGTTACTGTTACTACCAGTACGACCACTACTACTGCTGCCACTACTACTACTGCCACTACTACTACGATTACTATTTCTATTACTACTACTCCTACTCCTACTACTACTACTATTACTACTACTTCTACTACTACTGTTACTGCTACTGCTACTACTATTACTACTACTACTACTACTACTACGCTGCGACTACTATACGTACAGCTACCTATACAACAACTGGTACTAACACTCACTACTAAAAAAAAAACTACTACACTACTACGATTCTAGTACACAACAACCACTAAACAACAAACAACCACACCCTACAACTACTACTACTACAACTACTACCTACTACAACTAGAAAACTACAACAAGAACAAACCACGCACAAACTACTACTAACTACAACTACTACTACTAGTAATCCTACTACTACAACTACTACTACTACTAACTACTACAACTAGCTACAACTAACGGAAACTCCCTTACTACTACTACTACTAAAACTAACTACACTACAACAACTACTACTAACTACTACTACTACACTACAACTACTACTACTTACTACGACACACTACTCTACCCTTGCCACAACAACCCATACCCCTGCTACCTACTACAACTACTACGACTACTACACAACTACACTACAACTACCACTACTACTACTACTACTACTACTACTACTACTACTACTACTACTACTACTACTACTACTACTACTACTACTACTACTACTACTACCCGCACCGCGGCCACAGAAGGTACCGAACGAGAGTTTCACTGAAATCCATTACAAAACATGTCCATCAGTACCGGAACCTCTTCGTTGTGAAAGCATGAGGTCGCTAGTCTGCCAATAAGCCACGCGAACCTTGGGCCAAGCCCCAACGGGCCACAGAAAGGCCATCACCCATGAGCCCCGGGCCACAGACAGCCCCAACGGGCCAGAGAAAACCCCATCGGGCCACAGAAAGTACCAGTCGCGCTGCGGGGGGCGGGGTCCCGTCAGTGTGCGAGGAGGGAAGGGGGGGACTTTGGAGGGGAGGGGGAGGGGAGGGGGAGGGGGAGGGGAGGGGGGAGCGGGAGAGGAGGGGAGCGGGGGTGGGCGGCGGGGACGACGGGAGGGGACGGCAAGGGGGAGCAGACGCGCCTAACAGCACCCCGTCCAGCCTACCCCCCACCACAGCGTGGAGGGGACCATGGACCAAGGCCAGGCTCCCCAGCCAGCTTTTTTTCTCCCTCCTTCACTTTGTGCCCCTTTTGATTCCCAGGGGGGCCCAAAAGGTCCCTTTTGCACTTGTCGTGCTCTTTTTGGGCCCCAGAGCGCCCCCTTTTAGGGAACAAAAGAGTGCACATCTCGTCGCTCCCCCATCTCATCGTCGCCCATTACGCAACGCTCGACGAGCGGGAGATGGCTGTCAGGATCTGCATCACGCACCGTCCAGTGCAAGGCTTTACCTGAGTTGGCACCCTCGTTCCTCCTCGTTCCCCCAGGAGCATCCGGACGAGTAGTTTTCCAAGGGCATTCTTTCATCATATTTCATCCTTGCATCGCCAGCCCATCCTTAGCCTCTATTGCTGGCCGAAGGTTTCAGCTTGGGCGTCTAAAATCCCTGCATGTTTTCTGCGCATCTCTGTGATCCAGTCGCGCAGTGCGTATCCCCCTTCCCCCACGCTTCCTGGAGCCCCACACAACACAGAAGTTGACGATCTCAAAGTCGTGCTGTATGACGTTCCTATCTGGCAGGCTCGCCCTGTGAAGTTTGTCGGCGGCAATCAGACCTGGCTTCGAGCACGAGGCGGCTTTGGCCGGCCTCTTACCATTATCTGCGGGCCGCTTCCCAGCCTCCGCCTTTCAGAAGAGGAAAGCTAAAAGCTTATTATACATATCCATCTCGCTCCTCCTCCCTCCACCCTCCCCGAGGGGTGGAGGGAGGAAAACGGTGGGCCTGCGTGGCTGTTTGACTCCTGGCTTCCCCGCCCTGTCGGGGGGTGGGAATTCCGTGCGGAGTAAGTCCGTACGGAGGGATTGCTTTCCTTCTGGGTTTATTCTGTCTGGACTCAGGCGGAGGGGAGGAGGAGGAGGAGGAGGCGAAGGAGGAGGAAGAGAAGGACGAGGAGGAGGAGGAGGAGGAGGACCCTGGGAGCGCCCTGGGAGCGCCCTGGAGCCTTTCCTGATAGGATGCCGACTCCGAGCGGAGCAAGCCTGGACGGCGTACGGAGTGCTCGGCCTCCGGCTGGGCTTCTGCTCCGGTTGGGCTCGGCCTCTCCGCCTCGGCCCCAGGGTCCACGAGCTCGACCTGCCCGCATCCCGGGTGCAGCTCGGGGCCGGCGGCGCCGCGGCGCCGCGGCAGCGGGCGGGGGCCTCGGCCCGCCGGGGGTCGCCTCTGGCAGCGCCCGGGGGGGCGCTACCGCCGTTTGCGAAATAAACGCCCACGTGTGGAAGTACCGAGATCCCCGCCCCGCGCCCCGCATTTCAATGTTGGCCACCGAACACGCCGAAGGGGAGTGCGAAGCGTTGCGAAATAAACGCCCACGTATGTTGGACTGCCCAGCCCTCCCCGTCAACCTTGAAATACGGGGGAAAGGGGGCGTGCTTCGTCGTCTTGTTTTCGATCCCTAAGATGGGCGTTTATTTCGCAAACGGCGGTATCTCTCGGTGGGTGAAGGAGGGGGGCCCGAGGGATGGGTCCCTTGGGGACGAGGTGCCTGAAGCAATGGAGGTCCACCCTTGGATCCCTTGCTATCCGCAGGTCCCTATCCCTCAGGACCCCATCATTGAACCACCGACTCTCCCTGTCCACCCCGCTCCACGCTCCTGGCTTGCCTACAGAGGCCCGCCAAGGACTGTCTAAGAGCCTCTTGCGGTCCGCACGGAATGTTCTCATACTATGTTCGGTTCAGGCCATCTTGTCTTAACATATAGGTGTTATGTTCTAAGAACATAATGTTGCTTATTATTTTATTTTTGTTGTTCTGAAAACATGTCGTGGTAGGCCTGTAGGACTGCTGGGCCGGTCAGTCCCTGCTCACAGGCCCCTCCCCTCCCCTTCCCGCTCCCTCTCCAGGGCCCATCTCGATCCAGTTAGATGTCGATTCCAGCCGGCCGTGTCCGATTCGATCGGGTGTTCCGACGACCTGCTGCGGCCCGATGCTCGCATGGCGCTGTGGCGCATCCTGGCGCAGCCCATATCAGCCAATCCGATGCACGTTTCGATTCGATCCAGTGGCCCGAGTCGAGACTGGCCGATCCCCACTCCGGCGCGAGACGGGCCAGCCTTCGTCCGTGAGGCACGCACGCACCGCGTCCGAGAGAGGTCGCCGCCGCCAGAAGCCGGTCGAGCCACGGGCTCCCCCTGCCTGCACGCCCAGCCGTTTTGCTCACGGCTGGGACGGTAAGGGGACAAGAAAGATGGAACCCTTGCGTCTTCGGCCCCGCATTCGCCCCCCCCCCCCCCCCTCCCCCCAATTTCAAAGTGGGGTTCGGCCTCTCGGAGGCCCTGGGGGGTCCTTTTTTTGTCCTCTCACGCCTGTGCTGCCAAATGCTTGAGGCCAACTTTGAAATTGGGGGGAGGGGGGGGCGTGGTGTCAAGGGTTTCACTTTTTTGTCCATCTACGGGAGAGAGGCAGAGGCAGGGCCGAGTCTCAGGCCCCGAACCCAAGGGAGATCCTCAGAAGAATGCCATCAAGAACACACAACAGCGCGATCTTCTCCGCAAGGCCGAGGAAGGAGACGATGGCAAAGACGAGCACCGCCGCCCCATCACCTCGTGAGCGCAGGTCGGTGGGGCAGCCCAGCACTAAAGACCCGAAAATTGCCCTCTCGAAGATCAGTCACGAGCCGCCGCGGCACCAGCGCGCGCGACGACCCGCGCGCCTCTCGCCGTCTAGCACCCTTCCGCTGGCACGTGCGCCCACCTGCCCGTGCGGCCCGCAGCGCGCCCGGAGTGGGCAGGCTTGAGCAAGGCGGCAGCGGGTCTTCGCAACACAGGCAGAGGAACAGCAAGGTTTTGCCAGCGTGGAGCACAGGCAGCGAGCTGATTTGGAGTCTGGATGTGTAAGCTGCACGCTGTGTGGCGCAACATATGTGTGAGCTAGAAGCTATGTGGCACAAGCGACGTGGTGCCAGCTCATTACGTTATGTGGTGCCAGGTATGTAGTGCGAACAATACGTGTAAATAGTGAGTTGATTTTTCCACTGCTCGCGCAAACATCCCACCCGCCCGCCCGCAACCCGTTTTGCAAAACCATGCGGCTGCGCTGGCGCGCGCAAGCTCGCGCGCAGAGCGATCAGCTGGTTTGGCCGCGATGGCGCTTACCAGTGGGGACTTCCCATCGCCTCTCAAAGGCCGCGTTGACGTTTAGGTAGAGCCCAGAATCGAATCGATAAGTCGGATCGACTATCGACATGAATCGAATCTACGAAAACCGGAAAGTTAGCAAGCCTCTATTCAGAAATCGGAATCCAAATTGGAATTCGAAGTCAAATCGAGTCGAAATCAGAAGCCAACGAAATCGAATCGGGAGAGAGGAAACGAGCCAGGGCGGGCACGGAAGGGCGCGAAGATAATCGCGCATCGCGGGCCGCATGGCGGCCCAGATTCCGTGTTTCGCCGTGGAGGGGCTACGCCCCAGGGTCGGCTTCAGAGTTGTGCCCCCGCTGCGAAGCACAAGGCGTGCTGATTCCACCCGCCTGGGCTGCTGACGTCGCGGCGCCCTCCGCGACGGAGAGCAACGTCGGATCTTGCTTTCTCGCGCGTCGAGGGCGAGGCGGAGGACAGGAGGAGGAGGAGGAGGGAAAGGAAGATGAAGAGGAAGAGGAGGAGGAGGAGGAGTAGTCGTGGTCGCAGTCGTAGTCGTAGTCGTCGTCGTCGTCGTCGTCGTCGTAGTCGTAGTTGTAGTAGTAATCATAGTCGTAGTAGTAGTAGTAGTAGTAGTAGTAGTAGTAGTAGTAGTAGTAGTAGTAGTAGTAGTATAAGTAGTCGTAGTAGTAGTAGTAGTAGTAGTAGTAGTAGTAGTAGTAGTAGTAGTAGTAGTAGTAGTAGTAGTAGTAGTAGTAGTAGTAGTAG